AAGATGAAAATACTCACGTTCTCGACACGATGGCAAAACTCCCTCAATGGCGTCCTCGACGAGACCACGACGGCAAACACGCGAGGCAAGAATTCTCGTGCGCATGCCCGGTTGTGTAAATTTACTTCCGGTAGCCGTCCTAGCTCGACCGTCGTCCTATCTTAAGGTCCCTAATATCCCATTCTTAGACACCCATGTTGAAAAAACAATCTTTTCCCATACATTTTCTTATACCGTCTCGGTGCCATTTTGCTTGTAACACGAGAACCGCCTCCGCCATATTGTCCCAAATTTCTGGCAATGTGTAAATGTTTGAGAAAAGTTTGCACTTTGGGTTTTGTCAGGGTTGAACAATGCTCGTTAAGGGAATCATTTACCATTCACCTAGTTACCCATTTTTATCAGGCATTTGCAACTTTCTCGACATAAAAGCCACCAAAAGCATTGTTCAGAATTCACAGTTTTCTTATGGAGAGTTTTTAGCTTTGTTTAATTCATTCCCCCCGGAAATGGCTGTAGAAAGGAACAGAACTTTCGTCCCAATTGACACCTAACTCCTTTGTACCCACCCATCCCACCCCAGGGGAGGACATCCATCACACAGTAATCTCGTGCGTGGGAAATTAACGTCTCCTACGTTCCCTAACCCTGCAGGAGACGGGACCTCCATTTATTCTTCTCTATCCGCGAAGACTAGAATATCTAACCATTTCTTGATGTTAGAGAAAGGTAGCAAATTCTTCTCAATTATTTTAAGACTTTGAGTGTTAGTCCGGCCCGGGCTCGAACCCTCAACCTCCCGCACAACAGTCCAGTGCTCTATCCATTGAGCTAACCGGGAGGCGGTTGTAGAGAGCCCAGTTTCTTCATTGTTGAAGATTTCGCACAACAATGTCAAATTAGCCGTTAGACTGAAACATGCTGTTATATCGCCGGAATGTAACTTGTGGTTATTTGAAAATGGCCCTTTTGTTTGGGCCGACTAGCGGCCGAATGAACCAATTGCGAACTGGTATCGATTGGGTCTCGTGGCTCAGTAGCACATGGTGTGGTTTAAGTGCATAGATTCGTGTCGGGGACCGTGAATGCTATGCTTGTTGCAGTTTTTTTTTTCCCTACCGTTGATTGCACAGAGAATGTAAGTATCAGGTTTATAATTTCCTTCTACCCGGATCAGTTGTTAATTCAAGTTTTCTTTCGTTCAGTTTTTACCGTAGGCGTAGATCATTCAAGACAACGCAAAATGTCACAAATGGTGGAAATGTTTGTACTCGGAGCTTGTCGACCCCGAGGTTGTCAACAAGCATGAGATGATCGTAATTAAAGCGTTTATATCATTCTAGAACTACGCGTCAGAAAATCTCTCTGCAAATTGTCCCCAATATCAGTAAAAAATGTTCTTTCTAAATGTTTGATTGCAATTGGATTTTGTCGAGCGATGGATGCATCAAATCGTTTGGATTTCGACCTCGACAGTGGAACGAATGTAAATGGTTTCGTCTACGTTGGAGATGGAATGGATCCTGGACTGCCCGATTTTCCTATCCAGTTTCCTGGAAGAATTGATACATCGACAGTAGATGGTAACTTTAGTCCTGTTTGTACCACAACAGATGTTTTTGCTTGGCCATTAAGCTACGGCGGCCTCTCACTCATACTCAGGCCCCCACCAGGCACTCGCGTCGATTTCGAAGGATTGGAACGGCAAAGGGACTCGCGGGAGCAACGCAGCACGGCTATGCTGTGGGCAAATGTTTGCTAGGAAATTGAAAATTTACTGAGGGTAATTCCGTCCAAACTCCATGCGGGCCAAAGCCCAGAGGAAACTAAGAGAAATATTGATCTTCTCTAGGAAAAGTGGGAGGCACTGGAAGAGCTACACAAGAAATACCTTGTTGGAATAAATGAGAGAAAGCGCTTAGAAGAGGTACAGAATCATTATTCTAACCTGAAACGAAATGCGCCTGACGTCATTAATGAGTGCGAAGGTTTCTCGCAAAAATTGGGCTCTCCACCTGGAAATGTTGGAATGGATCCTAGACTACCAGATCAGGACGTGGAACGTGATGACAATGTGTCAGTCTACTATAAGTCTTCTTCGTCACGTAGGAAATCTCTGAAAAGGGTGCTTGTCTCGAAAATGAAACTTGACCTGGCAAGGGCTAGGGTAAAGGAAGAAGCTGAAGCAGCTCGAATGGCATACGAGCACAAACAAAGAATGGAACTTAGGCGCATAGAAGAGGAAGCAACATTAGCTGAACTAAAATGGAAGATTGAAACGGAGTACCACGATGATGGAGGTCTGACAGCTGGCGCTGCTAGTCCCTTAGATGCTATCACGTTCCTGGTTGATAAGAGCCCACATTCTACTGCGGTCACCTCTGACAAAATTAAGGCCAGTGGATCTGACGCAAACCCGGGTGCCACCTCCGTCATTGGTAATGAGACTGTATCCCAACTGAACCCTTGTACAGAAACGCCAGCCACTCCAGTGTCGGGAATTTTGGAGTCTCGGGACAGCATGAAAACTCAACCGAAGTCATCCTTGTGAACGATAGAGTCTAATGTCCCTAAGATCCTTGACAGCGTGAAGTCACCCCAGACATTTAGAGTACGCAGTGTCCAACAATCACAGAGGGCTACTTGTAGTAGTAGTAGTCTTTATTTCCTCACAAGATAAAAAATACATATCTTATGTGACAATATTTGAGTAAAAAGTATATATATCTAAATTATAAACCCACATAGCTCATAGCTAAATTGTATTTAAAAATTAATGCTGAGTGGAATGCAGCCGACACGGTTTAGTGGGAATCCAGTGGATTTCCCCTTCTTTCGTGACCAAATGCGTATACATCTCGAAAGTGATTTGCTTACTGATGCCCAGCGTGTTGAATATCTCCCTAAGTTTGTTACTGGAGAAGCTTTGGAAGTGGTAAAGCGAATCAGAGGCTGTTCATTCATTCAACGACATCATGAAAACCCTTGAGGAACGATTTGGTCAAACAATAAGGGTAACTCAAGCATGCATGGAAGATCTTGTAGCTGGGCCAAGGCTGACCTATGGGGATAATATTGGACGTAGGAACTTTTCTGAGAAGCTGAATACAGCTACAAAAATCCTTCAAGGCGACACTGAACGTGAAGCGAACGTCGCAACAAACCTCAAGCGTATCGTTAGCCGTCTTCCTAATGATCTGATCATCAAATGGCAAAACGAAAACTACGAGATTGTTAAGAGTGGAAGGTCTCCTCGGCTGAAGAACATTGCTGCCTTTGTGAAGAGACAAGCGTCCATTAGAAACGAACCAGTGTTTGGAGGTCAAATATTGAGGCGTGAGAATAAAGAGCCTAAGGTGCCTCCCAAGCCTCCAATAAGGACTTCCACAATTGGTGCCACGGAACTTGGAATTAATCATCCCGCCTCTGGCTTGAGAAACTGTGGAGTCTGCAAGTCTAAGCGTCATAAACTTCAATATTGCCCTATAATCAAGAAATGCGAGCATGTTGCAGTCCGAAGACAGTATGCGACCTCCTGTGGATTTTGTTTCAACTGCGGCATTGAAAGGCCTGGTCGTGGTTCTTGCTCGTGCCCTGAACTGCCTGCATGTTCAAAATGCCCAGGGCGTCACCTTAGTCTTCTGCATACTGACAAAGTTCAGGATGGCCTCCGTCCTAACTCACCCAACAATAAGGAGTCCAATGACAAAGGTGACAAGCCCCCAGCCACCCTTCATCCCACTAGTCACGAGGCAGTGAATACAAGTAAAACCGCTTATGCTAATCCAGACAAACCTGAACCAATATCCATATCGTCTGCTGGCTTGTCTACCACAGAAACACAAGTTCTGTTGAAGGTTGTACCTGTCATTATCACCGCATCGAATGGTATTACTGTATCGACCTACGCCTTCCTAGATAGTGGCTGTACGGATACCCTCATCGACCTTGGTTTAGTAGATCATCTTGGTATACAAGGAATACCTGAGCAGATTGGAATTAATACAATCACGAACAGTGGCAAGGTAGTAGAGTCTAATCGAGTATCCTTTACGTTCAGTTCCGTGGAGAGTTCTGGGGAAAGTATTAAGATTTCTGAGGCCTATGTCCTACCTGACCTTAATAAGTCACAGCGAGCCTTGCCAGAGCGAATTGATGTCCACAACCACCCTCACTTGTGTGACATTGAGTTTCCAGCAGTTGATATTAAGAGAGTGTCCATTCTTGTGGGAAACAACATTCCCTATGCGCATATACAGAAAGAGTTCGAGTTCCTGAGGATGCAAGGAAAGGACTTTATGGTTGTCGTTACCTCCTTGGTTGGCGTGTTTGCAGTTGCTATGGTGGCAAGAACACCCAGGAAGTCTCAGTTAACTTTGTTTCAGTTGATCACAAGCCCGTTGACCTCATTTAAAAGTTTTGGAAGCTTGAAGAGTATGGAGTAGTTAAGTCAGGAGAAAAGCCCCTCTCAATTAAAGATAAGAGAGCAATGCAAATAATTGAAGACACCACACGTCTTGCGGATGGACGTTATGAAGTGGGCATGCTTTGGAAGAAAGATGAACGCTGGTTTCCAAATAATCTTGATACGAATATACGAATATAGTTTATATCTGACCACTTGCATCCCAGAGGCTGAATTACGGGCGCAGTGTAAGGTTTAGAACAGACGTCAGCATATCAGGCGCCTCTGGCAGCCGCTTCGGTCTATTGATCTCACCTTCCCACCCATCCCACCCCAGGGGAGGACATCCATCACCCAGTAATCTCGTGTGTGGTAAATTAACGTCTACCCCAACCCTGCAGGAGACGGGACCTCCATTTATTCGTCCCTATCCGAGAAGACTAGAATATCTAACCATTTCTTGATGTTATAGAAAGGTAGCAAATTCTTCTCAATTATTTTAAGACCTTGAGTGTTGGTCCGGCCGGGGCTTGAACCCTCGACCTCCCGCACAACAGTCCAGCGCTCTATCCATTGAGCTGTCCGGGAGGCGGATATGGTCAGACAGCGCTCAGAGTCCCTGAGACGTCGCCTGACGAAGTCGGGGAATGAAGAGATGGCCATCAAGTATCGCGAGGTAATGGACAGTTACATCAGTAGTGGAGTTGCTCGCAAGTTGTCTGAGAAGAAGTTAGCTAAGGAATCCAGTACCCATTGGTATCTCCCACATCAACCCGTAACTTCCCCTACCAAGCCTGGAAAGGTGCGTATTGTTTTCGATGTGGCAGCCGAGTTCGAAGGGACCTCGCTTTACAAGAATCTGCTGAGCGGGTCAGACATGACCAACAGTTTAGTCGGTGTCCTCCTGCGTTTTCGCCAAGATACGATTGGTATTGCCGCAGATATTGAAGGAATGTTCCACCAGATTCGTGTACGTGAAAAGGACCAGGATTCATTGAGGTTTCTATGGTGGACAAATACCTACGAAGACCCACCTGATGTTTATGTTATGAAAGTACATGTATTTGGAGCAGCATCTTCCCCTTGCGTAGCTAACTCCACCCTGAGGTGAGTCGCCGATGACAATGCTGAGGACTTCAGCCCCAGTGTCATTGCAGCTCTAAAGGGAAATTTCTACGTTGATGATGCTCTTCCTTCTGAGAATGATGAGCAGTCAGCCGTTCACCTGGCCCGAGATATAGTCAACATCCTTGCACGAGGAAGTTTCAACCTGACGTAGTTTACGTCAAATTCGAAGGAAGTGCTGAAGACAGTTCAAAGTGACAAACTGTCCAACCAAACTCTCGACCTCGATTTGGAAGACCCACCCGTTGAGAGAGCACTGGGGGTACTTTGGTTTGTTGGAGATGATACTCTTGACTTCAAAATAAGGCATCTTGATCGCCCTGATACAAAACGTGGCATCTTGTCTACTGTTTGTTCCTTGTTCGACCCGCTAGGGCTCGCTGCACCCGTAACGCTAGCTGCAAGAAGTTTAGTGCAAGACATTAGGAAGGCTAACGTTGGATGGGACGAGCCTCTTGGTGAAGAGTTTCTATCAAAGTGGAGGACGTGGAAGATTCAACTACCTTCTTTGTCACAGTTGCGCTTTCCACGATCCTATTTTTTACAAGATGGTGACCCGAAAGACTGCAAGTTGCAGCCCCATGTCTTTTCGGACGCATCAGAAGTTGGGTATGGTGTATCGTCCTATCTGCGAGCTGAGTATCCAGATGGTCGGGTTCATTGTACCTTTGTCATGGGAAAGGCTAGGAATGCACCAGTGAAGTTTGTCAGTATTCCCAGACTAGAGTTGCAGGCAGCATTACCTGCAACTCGTGTGTGTAAAATGCTGCGAGAAGAATTAGAACTGAACATTGACAGGACATTGTTATGGACCGACAGTGAGATAGTACTGCACTATCTAAGGAATGAGGAACGAAGACTTCAAACCTTCGTTGCCAACAGAGTTGAAGAAATAAAGGAGCACTCACCCGTGCAGGATTGGAATCATGTGCCAGGGACTTTGAATCCCCCAGACAAGGTGTCAAGGGGACTGACCCCATCTTCTCTGACTGCCGACCACAGTTGGCTTCGTGGACATGACTTTTTGTGGGGACCAGAGCATTCCTGGCCGAAACAAGAGTGTAGAACCCTACCTCGTGAAGATTTGGAACAAAAGAAAGAAACTCATGTACACTCCCTGGAACTGAGCTCTGGTTCAGTGGTGGCGAAGAAAGGAAGTTCAAATTTTGAACCCATCAAAGATTCTATGGAAGACCCTCTCCAAGCCCTTATTACAACCTGCTCAGGTTGGACCCGCCGTAGGCGCAAGGTAGCATGGCTCCTACGGTTTATACAGTTCGTTAAAGATAAAGGGAAGGTCCAGATTAGAAGGTTAACTGTCGACGATTTGAATGCAGGTACAGTGGCTATCGCAAGGATCGTTCAGGGCTCAGCATATGCACAGCAGATGAAGGATCTGAGGTCTAATGGTGCCGTCCGAGCATCGAGCAAGATTGCAGCCTTAAATCTCGGATTGGATGATCAGGGAGTACTAAGAGTCAATGGACGTGGCCAGAAAAGAGTATCTGAATCTAACAAGGGCCGACAAATCATTCTGCCCAGGAATCATGCTGTAGCTGAGAAGATTGTTCGTCATGTCCATCATTTCATTGGTCATCTGGGGCGTGAGCATGCAATAGCCAAGATGTGGGAAGACTTCTGGATTCCTCAAATCCGTGTTCTAGTTCGCTCAGTCCTTTCCCGATGCGTCAGGTGCAAGAAAGTCCTGGCCAAACCCATGACCCTACAGATGGCACCTTTACCGGAGGCACGTCTGATGGCATATGAACCACCTTTCTCATATACAGGAATGGACCTTTTCGGCCCCCTGTACGTCAAACATGGCCGAGGGAGCACAAAGCGTTGGTTTTGTCTCTTTACCTGTCTAACCACCCGTTGTGTGCACCTGGAAGTTGTTAACGCAATGGACACGGATGATTTCGTCATGTGCCTAAGGCGCTTCATCAATCGTAGAGGCGACGTGAAAGAGATTCGTTGTGATAATGGCTCCAACTTTGTGGGAGCGCAGCGCGAACTAAAGGAGAGTTTGAGAAATGGAACCAGGGACAGATTGAGAGTGAACTTATTCAATATGGCTGTAAATGGATATTTCAACCCCAACTGCATCAAGTATATCCGGTGTATGGGAACGTTTGGTTCGTAGTGCGAAGACAGTCATCAAAGCTATCATAGGTGGACACGTGGTCATAGATGTTGTCTTGCAAACACTGCTTACCGAGGTCGAGCGTGTTCTGAACGGCAAAGCCCTAACTGTAAACTCTGACGATCCTAGTGACTTTGAGCCACTAACACCCGCCCACTTCCTTATGCAGCGCAAGGTTATTTGCTTACCACCTGGAGTCTTCGACAAGTTCGACATGTATAAGAAGAAGTGGAGGCAGGTACAATACCTTGCCAATCTGTCCTAAAAGAGGTGGCTTAAGGAGTATTTACCCAGCTTACAGTCCCGGGCTAAATGGCGGAAGGCGTTGCCTGATGTCAAACACAATGCGTTGGTGCTGCTAGTTAACGATAACACTCCAAGGGGACATTGGAACCTCGGACATGTCATTGAGACGTACCCCGGCCCGCATGGCCTAGTGCGAACTGTAAAGGTTGAAACTAAGGACAATGTCTACGTTCGTCCGATTCAGAAACTTTGTTTGTTGGAAAATGACTTAGAATCGATGTAAGAAACCACAGAATTGGGACGCTTTATGAGATCGCCCCAAGGCGGGGTGGATGTTTGGGCCGACTCGCGACCGAATAAACCAATTGCGAACTGGTATCGATTAGGTCACGTGGCTCAGTAGCACTTGGTGTGGTTTAAGTGTATAGTTTCGTGTCGGGGACCGTAAATGCTATGCTTGTTTGCAGTTTTGTTTTTTCCCTACCGTTGATTGCACGGAAAATGTAAGTATCAGGTTTATAAT